TGGCCAACTTCATGATGTGGTGAGGCAGATAAAATAAAGTTACAACAGTAAATAATGAAAACCGTGACAAGAATCTCTCATCAGAACGTTGACAAAACATTACCCCCCCCCTCCCACGTTTGCTCAACACTCCCCGTCCTTCTCTTTCACTCAATCTCTCTATCTCACTTCATAACGCTACGTGACGGGTTAGTCCATCAAATAATCCTGTCTTGTGTTAAGGATTTAAATAATCACACTTTAACATTAAAGAGTATTAAATTGGGATATGGTTATCCTTATGAATTTGTTGCAGTTTTTTTCAGTTCCAAAATATATTTTAAACAAAAAATAATTTTTCGGAATGAAACAAGACCAAACAACCACTAAGTAGGTTGCTTAAGTAAAAATAAATATTGATTAAAATAATAGAAAAAAGACAACTTATACATCTTAACGTAGGCCTATATTTTTATTTTTATTCAACATTTAATACATAAAGATTGTAAAGGGTCCTCAGAAAGTATATAAAAGGATTGTAAAGGTACTTTTAAAAAAAGCGTATCTGGTTTCGTACACGTTAACTAAGTTTGGAAATTCCCGCTAAATATTTACCTTACGAACATTCCCCATTTTCCACAATTTTGTCCATACTACAATATAATAAAACTTCTATACTATGAACATATTTGTCTGGATTTATTTTGCATACTTACCACTCAACCGAATCAGTTTAAACATTGAAAGTTTTAAGATGAAAATGGGAAAGGAAGGATTAATCAGTTTCATTTATATAAAAAAATAACCGTATTTGTTACGTTAGAGTTTTTCAAACCTGAATTTTACACTTTTTAGCAGCTTATTCGAATGATAATAGTATATTTTGGACGTTTATATATCATTAATTTGTATCATTAGTTGATAACTCCAAGCAATTATTTATAGTACGTGATCATACTTACTATCATTAGGTTTTAAGTAAAGTAAGGACTGGCTACTTTTTTATAACCGTCAAGATAAGATTATTCGCAAAGAAGTTTAGGAGTACTAATGTTTAATGATAAAGAAAGAAAGTAATAATATATTACTCATCTTGGCAAAAATGTTATTTAAATATACAAACGGTTATTATAATTATATAATATAATAGTTATCCATGTTTTATATTTCACCTTCATTACAGTATGTTTTAATAAGCTCGCCATGATGCCGCAGAATTTTCAGGTAAACTGATTACGTCTGAGGCCCAAGAGAAAAATGGATAGAAAGTAGTTTCAGCAGTAAATAATGAAACCCGTGACATGAATACAACACTGGTTTTACCGCTAACCCTGTCCACCTTACCGTATATTTTGTGTGTACACTTTTTAGAGTAAAAATTCTGTATCGTAATTTGATCACTGAAAGTCAATAAACAGCGCCATAAAAAAAACATGGGTACACCTTAAAATCCAAATAATATACAAATCTTTATATTTTAAGCATTTTTATATTTTTAATTTTTATATTTTATTTTTATATTTTTAAGTATGGACGGCAGTAAAAACGAATATATTGGTCAAACATAATGCTATCGTTTCAATATTTTTTCAGCTACGGTACCTGAGAAAGTAGGCTTCCTTGCAACGATCATAGCACGCAAAGTAGCTAATAGCTGCTTACTTTTGCCGCAATCATATTTCTTTCATCGCACAATTTTTTTCTGCACTCCAGTATTGTAACCAAATAACACAAAACAGTGTGCTTTTATTAGGCAAGCAATACGTTTATGCTTGTAATTAAGCTGGCAACACATTACGACTATGATCAGCTAGTTCAGCGTTACCGATTTCGATCAACGCTAGGTTTTAACCTAACCTAAAAACGTGTTGTATAGTGTTTGAAAGACTAATTAATTATTTATAAGATTTATAGTATCTGTAGAACAAATTGTAATGTGTAACACGTGTGCAAAGTGAAACAAAAAACTATTATCTAATAGCAGTAATAAAATCAATTTTTAAAATCGTGTGATTTTGTTATAAAATTAAACATTGCGTAATATAAGTTAAACTCACCGTACCAGTTGGGATTTCAATGGTTATGAAAGTTGAAATCACAAGAAAAATAATATTTGGTATTTTTATACCAACTAATAATTTCGTAGATTAAAAATTAAAGCTATATTGGCATTGAAATATAAACGAAACCCTTAGGATATTAATACTTCGCGTAAAAAAGAGGCTGAGGTTTTTTTTTCATTTAATTGTTCAGCCTAATTAAGTATATTAGATTATTTTGTACGTTTGAAAATCAACTGCTTTAATTTGCATGTTTGGCTTTAAATAATAATTATCTTTCAGATAGTGAAGTAATCCACGGCAAATAATAGGATATCCCACAGTATTTTTGCATTATTGTTTATTCATTTAAAAATTGTGTTGGCCAAAAATCCCAATTAAATGTATGAAAAATAAATAATGATACTTGCTTCTAACTTTCTTTTTGTCAGGCACGAGCCTGGGATTGTTTTTCACATTACTTCAGGCTAGATATAGGGGTTGTGGCATTATCACTTAGATAAAATCCATTGGCGATTTGCGGAATTTGAGCCCGTATCTCAGGGACCGAAGTCGAGTGCTCTCACCACTACACCATGTCTCCCATTTTCCTTATTGACATTAGTTGTAAATTAAGTTTGACATTAGTTAATTAATTCCTGTGTGTGTTATACCAACTTATAGTTTTATTATTACATACGTTATTATTATTTGCTTCTGACTACAATAAAAGTGTATTGATGTGTCACTTTGCTTAAACGTTCCTTATTTATCAGTCTTATGCGTATTACTACATGTAGAACATTAAAACTACTTTTCAATTCATCCTGTCAATTATTTCAGATTTAGTTGTGTTTATTTAATTATAAGGTTCCAAACGCACTACTTCATGTTAATTCTTTCTACAACCATTTCTCATAGGAAATTAGTCAAATGAAGAACGTCTAGTAACCAGCGTAGCTTACTTGAGTGTTTCAAATTACCATTGGTTTACAGTGACGTCGGTAGCGAGGTCATTGCAAAACATGTGGCCATACTCAACAGGTGGGTCCTATTATAGCGTTGTAGCCTGGGCAAATGCAACCAAAAACAGCTGTTCTGCCATTGCTCGCAGACCTTGTTATTTAATAATCTTGTGAGGTAAAATTGATAAATCATATAGGAAAGTGATTGTAATTTGGAAGAATAACAACTTTAATTATTATACATAAAAGTTAATTAGATCACAATTTTAGGACAGTATAGACTTATTATATTAAAAGTAATATGATTTGTTGTCGCACTAAGTTAAATCATTGATTATTGGATACCAAAATAGACAGAGATCACAATAAGTCCATCTGTTTGACTTGGTAAAAAAATTGTGTATTCAACAGAATCCTGTATTTTACATCAACAAAATTTGTCGGTGGTTCACTCTCATCAACTTAAATAAAAATTCATCAAACTACTTTAAGATGGGGATGGAACATCTAGTTGTATCAGTAGTCAAAAGTATGTAAAACTATAAACACTTATAAAATGTATAAGTTTAATACTTTTCATACTTGATATTCTAATATGGCATATCTAAGTAAATAAGTATAAATTATAAATAAATAGTAAATACAAATTTTATAAATTGTAAAAGTTAATATCAGTAAATAGTATTAGTTGTAATTGTATATAATATATAATTTAATTGGGTTTTAATTCCTCAATGCTGTGAGCACAGGAATAACAACGAGTTCGAGATTGGACAAAGTTCAATCGGTATTCAATCAAATATGCATCAAAGGTTTAAATGACATTCAAAAGTCAGTTGTTTGGAAATTGATACGCTGTTTCAAAAAGACTTGTTTTAGTCAAAGACTGCATTTTGTCAAGCTAAATATAAAAGTGCATATCTCTTTGAAAGTTTGTACAGCTAGTTAAAGTCTACCAAAAACATAATTTCATTTCAGTTTTTGTTATCTTTTATTTTCAAGGTATAAGTCAACAATTTATAACATAAAAGTCTCGTTATGTACTAATATTGTAAACCATTTACATAAAAGAGAGAGTAAAATATTAAGGTTCTAGGTGGTTGAATAAAGACTTATTTTCGCTAAATGGTCTTCTTAAAATAAAACGTACGGTAATAACTGTATCCTGAATAAAAACTGCACCATCACCACAAATATAAATTACCATTGTACCAATTAAAAAAAAATATGTCATAAATTTGGATTAATTGTTTGTCTATTCAGGTACAACGTATACACATTTCATATTGTATTAAATTTGTTTCTGCAAAAAAATAATATGTAATTAAGTATTAAGTAATATTAATTAAGTAATTAATCTATTAAATGGAAAACTTGGTACATAAGTAAAATATGAATTTACTTATACTTTAATAAATCGTATTATATTACCTCAGTTTTCCAAATTCGTCCAACCTTTTTTTAGTAAAATAACCACTTAAAACTGTATCTTAAACTTAAAAAAAAATAACACATACATAACCATCACACACACATACATAAGTCATCTCTAAATATTTTTGGATTCCATGCAAACCCTTTTTAATTGTTATTTCAACTTAAACTTCAAAGTAACATACACATGGTTTTATAGATTTATCACTGAGAATTTTTTTTATGGAGAAAAATCCCTAAAAACTGTGAATGTCTTTCTGAATCGTCTGGTAGGAAATATATATCAAAGTTAATAAATTTATATTTCTGAAAAGATTTACTTGAAATAGCTTTATTTCTATCTAAATATTTTTTAAACAATTATTTACAAATTTCTCGATTCTCTAATAAAAATAGGGTGTATTCCGTGATAAAAAACATGTGTGTGACTTAAGGTATCTCGCGTGCTACGTCACTAGGTACAGTGGTAGTGGTCACTAGTCACGTGCTCACTACTGTCAGCTGATGTCTGACAGGCGTCCAAACTGATCAGCTGATTTGTGTCATGTTTGTTGTTCTGGTCAGTGGTTCGAGTGAAGTGGCACCGCTTGATGGCCTAGTGCCTTGGCGGTTTAATTCACTTTTTTCATAGTAATTGTGTGTTTTTATGTGAGTGCTTGGTTAATTTATTGTAGTGAAACTTAACAAACAGTAATTATTTTTACGAAAATCCAAACGAAACAATGATTAAGTAAGTATATATATTTTTTTAGATGATAATAAATATTTTTTTTTCTTTTAGTTCACATTAATGATAGTGTGTGTGAAAATAAACTTTTGTAAATATTTTATGTAACGGATAAAATATTACGAAGCTTTAAATGTTATACCACTTGCGGGTAGGTGATAAATAATATTGATGGATATTGTGATTATTATAAACGTTAACCTAAGGACCCAATAGTAGCTTGGTTTAGCCAGTAAACAATTTTATGAACACTTCTTTTCTAAAAACTACATAGGGCTACTTCACTTGAAAGGGGAGTTCGGATTTTGAATAGTGTAAGAAATGCTTATAGTTTTTTTTTTATATATTTTTTTTTACAGCAAGTAAATAAAACACATTTAAAACCATAATACCGTTAATTTTGCGTTAATAGTACCATAATACCGTTAACAGATGCTTGCAAACCATACAGTACACATATAAAATAGGTTTTAAATATGTCTAACTAGTTTCAAAAATAATATGAACAACAATTTGTTATTGTATGAAACATTTCACGAGTAATATAATGCTGCACATCTATTTTCACTTCAACAACCATCCTCATAAGAATGAAAAACGCGAAAATAATAGATTTTTATGTTACAGATATATGTAACTTTAATAAATGCAAAACACATTTAATTAACGTTCAGCCGACATTCTAATAAGAGTTTACACGAAATATCATCAGGTAAAAATAACCAATAAAAAACATACGCTTGTATCCATGTCGATATAATCTGTCACGTAAAGACTGGTGGTGTCCAATTTAACCAATTTTAGGTTAATTGTAATGCATGTTTACATTTCCTTGTGTTGACTGATACCGGATGTGGAAACGACGCTAACCCATAGAGGCAAGTGAATACTGTCACATTGTCACACTACGATTGTCACATTGTCACACTGTTGTCACAGCGTCAAGTCGACCTTGGACCACGCTAACAAGCCGATCAGCTGGTGATAATTATCCAAACACCTGTTAACAGTTTTATCTATGTCTTTCACCTTGTCCAACTGTTTAGAGCCAACATTAGAAGCTCAATAACAGCTGCCTTGATTAAGATTGTATGCCGTTTATGTTAACGATCATCTGGAATCATTATCACTACTTTTTTGATTGAAGTTGTCTTCCGTGTGTGATAAAAATACATTTTTTAGGCCCCAGCTTCATACCATTGGATGCTAGGTTCTAGCTGGAAATGTTTTACATATTAAACCTACAGGGCCGTGACGTTATGACTAGATAAAATAATTGCTGATATACAGGATTAGAACTCAGAACTTCTAGTTCTAAACTCCTGTGCACTACCACTATACCAGCACACTCCCACAATATGTCAATCCTCGATAAAATACTACTTTTACATAATCATTTCTTATTTGCTATATCATAACGCCACATTTTTTATGAAAGAAGACTATAAAATATGTTATCAACAAATCAAGGGCTACATGGACAGATGAATAGCAGACGGTTTATGGCTGGCTTCAATGAGATACGTCAGCATCTGCCAACTTGTTTGTCTGCCGTATTTCAAATTTATTTTTGTGTTTACGTCGTTTTCATGAATTCTTTCATTGTACCAATATAATATGTAAAAAAAATAATAAGGTGCTTTATATTACTGATATTATTTAAAAGACAGCGTAAGATTACTGGTAGTTAAATTTAAATTTTTAAAATCATAATCATAATAAAAAAATTTATATTTTTTTTAAGATAAATTTAAGACTCCAAGTAGGCCTAACGCATTAAATATGAATAACGAAGCTATGCTGAACATAAAGATACCAAACTTAAAAATGCAATGAAGATGCTCCTAAAGACCATTTTATTACCATCTCCAACACTAATGTGGTAATAAATGGGGGATTGCCATAGTTAAATCTCCTTACTATTACTGTAGTAGTAATTCACTCATTTTGTGAATTACAAAACATTTGTTGTGCTTTGTATGCAATATACATTTATATTTATGCGTGCTAAGCTATACAAACAGACCTATTCAATTTTAAATCAGCGATGACTCTTTGATTGACTTTAGATCAAATTTTCTTCTTGTGCTGTGTATTTGGCAAAGACACCGTATCACCGACAACCAAACAGTGGTCAGTTGTTTAACATGCAGCCTGCAGACCTGGTAGGAGAGAGTGGGGCTTCCTGTTACAATCGCAGCTAATTTACATTCCCAGACAATAGCCCTATCTCCTAGTTTACACGTTTGTTTGGGTCATCCAGTAATGTACAGAAATCGTAGACATTTTAACTCTTGGTGGAGGAATTGAACGTCATATTGAGAGGTATCATGAAAGTAACACTTAATTTTATTTTAGACCGAAATGTCAAGAAAGTGAGTTTGCAACTAAGGAGTTCTGTCTGGTATAGGTTTGTTGGTTATTTAATTTGTTTATAACCCGAGAACAGAGTAAAAAGGATAGTCACTGATAAACATTGATTTTGAGTGTTTTAAAATGCCAGGACACGTATGCATTTGTGTAGCCTAAATTCTCATGCATTATCAAAAAATGTGTTTCGTTTTTCCTTTCGTCTTGAAGGTAAAAAGGCTTTTGCCAGTGGGGGAATTCAAATATTGGTAGAATATTTGATTGGCGGCATAGGATTATCACGATTACCTCAACAAATGGTTTCGTAAAATAATAGTTTATACGTTTAAATGTACCATGATTATACTTTCAAATGATTTTCATTACACTCTTGGCAATGTAATGACTGACAGCGATAAATATAATCGTTCTTACAAAATATAAAATAAGTAAATAGAGATAATTCAAAGTACAGTACTTGTATACTTTATATAATTGCCAGTAGGGGAAATCAACTATTGGTAGAATATTTGATTGGTGGCATAGGATTATCACGATTACCTCAACAAACGGTTTCATAAAATAATAATTTGTACGTTCAAATTTACTATGTTTATACTTTTCAAATGATTTTTATTGCACTTTTGGCCATGTAATGATTGACAGCTATAAATAGAATCGTTGTTACAAAATATAAAATATGTAAATCTAGATAGTTTAAGGTACTTGTATACTTTATATAATGATAAAAACTATTCAAGTATCTATAACTCTATAACTACGTTACCCTAACCTAGTTTGAATAAAAATTCAATGAAATAAGTGGGTTCTAAATTTAAATGATAAACAACTGTTTCTTAAAATAATAGCTTTCATACAGTTCCATAAATCTTATTCATAATTATACGTTATAAACACAACTGGAATTGATTTATATGACATGATTCGAAGAGGACTGAAATAAACTGTAGGGTAAGTGAGATAAAATGTGAAAATCCTCATTTGTAAAGTGCAATAACGGTTGAAATATTGTTGTCAGCATTCATCATCTTGCTTGAGTGGTGCTTTCGTATTTTCATACGACTTGTCTCCAATTATTTCTAAACAATTACGATGATTAAGCGAAAAGTGTTTTCTTCTTTGGGTGAGATGCTAGATTTTGTGGTTAAAACAAAATAATGCGGGAATCGGTGTTATTATTTTCTTAGCGAGATTCGAATTTTACGATGTTTATAACAGTCTAGACTCTGTTCTTGTTACAAATACTTGGACCTTTTGTTTGGTAGAACAATTAACTATGATCAATGAAAAAATGTAGCCTGAGTTCTAAACTGAGCTTGCTTATAATCGAATCAATAACCCGAGTTTTGGGAATTGATCACTTTGACCACTAGACTACACGACGTTTCTACAGGTCATGAAATCTCCTGTTGTATTCTCTGTCGATAATATCGACACAGTAAACAACTAATGGCTTAAATCGTTTCATAAATAGAAAACAATAAATAATGAATATATAACTATAGTTTTGACATATTTGACAATATTGTTTTCCTTAAATCTTTAAATATAGCACTAAATAATGATTGGATTCTATTTTCTTCAAACCATTTAAAATCATTCCTCACAATGTCGGTTATAAATTTACCCTAAAATGATTGCGAATTTAATTAAAATTTTTACTGTTGATTTATTTAAAGACGTACGTTTAAACTTGCATGATTCGAAATCTTAAAGCTATAATATGTGATATAATTAAGGGTTTATTATGGATCCGGATGTTAATTATTATTAAGATATCATTTATTATATCTCAAAATGTTAAATGTATACAACAGATATCAGGAATACTTTGGTTAGAGATGTTACAATATGAAGAACGTAAAAAATACCTATTTAAACTTACAAGCTAGTGCGAGACTAATTAAATGTTTATGTTTCATATCGCCAAGGATTTCCAAATTTTAAATCACAATCTTATCACAAATCTTATTACAAATCAATCATGACAAAGTCTTATCGATTCATTTATCATATCATTAAAATATTAAGTTGCCTTTCAAAATCCACTAACTCCTAATTTTCATACATACATGAACGTGCACTTGAAGTTTTAAAGGAAATAACACAGGCCAGATCGTAGTGAAATATCCATGGTAGAATGATCTCGTTGGAACGTCAGACTGTTGGGGTGGGGGTTGCTATATTGGCCAATTACCAGTAAGGATGGTGATGACAGCAACGCTCTCAACCCTTGCCCATATCAGCCGCAGTGCGCACAGATAGTCACTGTCGGAGCTGCTACTGACAGTGATCACTTTTCCTAAATATTCTGCAAAATACTCTTGCCTGATGCCTTTCCAATTTATTCAACGTATTTATTCAGTGTAATATATTCGTGAATGCAAGTTGTATGTTGAAATGCAACAAAGTGTTCGTTCTGTTGTACTGTACACGGTTTATAAATGTATTCTAAATAAGACCATAAGGACTATGTTTTGTGTAGAAGTTTATATTATTGTTCTTAAATTAAATCTTGGGGAGCAAGCTGGTTTAGGTGTAGAACGTGGGACTTCGGTCTTCAAGGTCCCGGCATCAAATCCCTCCAATTACCAATAAGTTTCATCAAAGCAGTAATATATACTGAGACCCCT